CCATACACACATACCGTTTCTTCCCACAGTGCCAACAGTTTCCACGCCTCAACTTTCAAACAGTTCCACAGACACACAATCAAAGTAAGCAAAATACATTTTGAAAAACCGTAATTACAAATACATTAAAAAAACTTCCTGGTCCACGCCAAGTCAGACAATAATCTCTGTAAACATATTATTGACCTAGAAATCCTTCCAGCCTACTCTGTAATTATAACATCCAAAGAAGAAAATAATGGAAGCCTAGTGCACTTGACAAAACACAACATCTTTTAATTTAAACCTTTTTGTCCTTGAAGGTTAAGGGCACTTAAAAAGACTTATAAGAATAGTCAGATTTTATTTCATCATTATCATAATGTTTTATTCGGTTTTTGCTTTTATCATTTATACAAAAAGTTGTTGTTGTTGCTTTTTGCACCACACCAGATTAGAATGTATTCACACATTGAGCTTTTCTTTTAAAGTTTATCCTGCAAAAGTAGTGTCTGTGTTTTACCACTCAACCTATTTTGGTACACCAAAAAATACGCTACGAAACACCTTGAAAACGTCTCTCCATGACTTTCAACACAAATCCCTCGAATTGAGAGCGCCTAGCTCCCGACAGAACTAGTTTAAGAACAGCAATCACAGTGGACGGCACGTCTTATGAGGCTTCACAAATAAGAAATGCTAAAACTAAAACCTAAAGGAAAAGCCCCACAAGCTGCGCATATCCGCACGTGGAAGTGGAGATGCTCAAAATGTGGCGGCAAATATTTCTCTTCTAGAATTGGTCTCATTGGCCATAGAAGAAGACACAAATCAATCCAACCTTTAAATTCTCCTACTTCGTTTGAGAAAGACTCTCCACTGCGGATGCATTGGTCACGGTCAGACATTGACGGTCTAACTACTACATGTACTATTATTTTTACTATTACTAAAACAATTTTTAAAGCTTTGCTATAAAAACAAACCCTTGCATAACTATGAGCACAAAATAGGCCAATAACGATAACAATATGTACAACAGACTTTTATCTAAAAAATAATAAACTTAGATAAAACATTGTTGCTCGCCCACGACGTGGCATCTTGTCCAAACACAAATCGAGGTCCCTGCAGAAAGCGGAAAGGGAGCAAAGGGAGAACAACGCTAACCGAGATGGCTTATTTCAAGGCACTGTATTGCTTGAGGTTAGACAATGCGAAGTTTATATCAAACTCGATCATCAAGCGTCCAATGACACACTTGCAACACTTGTAGAAACGATCAGTATTTTTTGGTAGACATAGGTGACCT